AACTCATTGACGAACCGAACACGAGCTGTTCGCGAGCAACAAGCTTTTTTGACAGCCCTAGTTGTGCGTTTAAGATGTGATTTCTACTGTGTAATAAATTAAAGAGCAGAACTTCAAATTAGTAATATTATTTAACTAAACAAATATTAATTCAAACAACTTAATATAAATTGTGATTTAGATTTATATTATTTAATTATTTTCATAAATTAAGCAATAATAATTAAGAAAAACTTTAATCAAATTTAATTTGAATTTAATTAATAATTTTTAAATTAATAATTAAATGTTAGTTAAAAATATTAATATCACCATCAACAACAATAACAACAACAACAATAATAAGCCTTTATCCCACTAAGTGAGTATTAATATCACCATCAGCAACAATAACAACAACAACAATAATAAGCCATTATCCCACTAAGTGGGGTCGCCTACATGAATCCTTCTTCTCCATTGTGTCCAATTGAGTGTCATATTTTCATTCAATTCTAATAAATTCATATCATTTTTTATACCATATGCCCAAGTCTTTCTACGTCTACCTTTGTTTATCTTAATGTAAGTCGAATTTAAAACATCCGCTCTCCTAATCGGATCATTAAATAATCAACGTTTAATATGACCAAACTATCTAATGAGTCGTTTTGACAGCCTCTATCACACAAACATAGCATAGATCAATGTTAAGAAGAGAAAAGACGGTGGAAGAGAAGAATGAAGGAGATTTAAGAGAAAAAATTGCGACAATGAATGTGGGGTGGGCTATGGATTCTCACCATAGTTTTCTCTTATATTGTAAGTTAAGGTAGTGTTTTAGTTTTTTAACATTACAAATACTAATTAATTAAGAAAATCGTAATTCAAAATAATTAATATAGTTTATGATTTAAATTGATTAAATAGAATTGATATTATTTAATTATTAAACTAAAAAAATTATTAATTAAAATTTGAATTCAACTAAAAAATTTTAATTAATTAATAAATATATATTAATTATTAAAGTTTAAAATTTAAATTTTTAAAATTTTTGCTCATATTTCAATTGAGCTCTCCTCAATAATTTGACAAAATCTTAAGAAATTATATATTTTCTTACATCGAAAATGAGTCAACACAAATCTCGAGGAGATCCAACCGTATAAATAAAAGGAGATACAATAAGTGAGAAACTACCGATGGAAGACCAAAGGGCTTGCCTTCTTAACCAGATGCAACCTTCTTAACTAGAGTTGAAGGCCGACCAGGTGATGTCGCTCGATCCAAGAACAAAGGTCAGCCAAGAGGACATAATGAGTGATCAATGTCCGAGCCCATCAGCCTATGGCCAAACAAACAAACACTCGAATTAGCCATCAACAAAAAGCCGTGCAAAGACATTGACCTACCTATCGCATATTAACGATGTGATCGATTCTCTTGACACAATGCTAATCACCGAGTGACTTGTCGCAAATAATTTATGACTGTGATCTTTTTTACGATTGTTTGTCTTATTGCAATGTTGGTCATTTAAATACACAAATAATTTATGACAATGATCTCTGATCACAAAAATAATATGTATATATATACAGTATTTGTATTAGATTCTTCATACATTTGTAACAACTGAAATCTTAAAAATTGGTCATCAAAATACCTTAGATTCAACTAAAATAATTTATTAAAAAAATATGAGTATAATTTTCTTATGTATGCAATATATTTTATTTCTTTGTTATAACTTAAAAATTGCCTAATTACTAGAAGAATTTAAAATAAAATATTTTTATATCATAATTGCTCGATATTACTTTTTAATTTGCTCTTTATTTATCATAATTGTTTTGATTTTTTATATATGAATGACTTTAATGAATTGCAATTATCGATTATTATCTTTTCAAAGAAACATTAGTTGTTGTTAAGCTTCAACAAAATAACTTTATTTTCTAGTAAAATAGCTATTAGCACGTGACAAATGAATCCATATTGAAGAAAACTAAACGCTTGATGTTGTTGGCTATAACTTCCTTGGTGCCGACAAATGATAGTATTAAGGTGTCAAGAAATGATATTATGAATCTATTAATATTGTGTTTGTAGCACACAACAAAGATAATAATTTTACTATAATTTTCAAATGATGCATATAACTTTATTAAAGTGTCACATTTTAATTATCATCAACTAAAATGATAATTTTTTAAGAGGCCATAACGCCAAACAAAAGGACATTATCGAATAAAAAAATATTGAATAATAAAATGAGGGCACCTCATCTGAACTTTCTCTTAAAAATCGAGGACAATGATGAACATGTCGTGATCATATTGAGATGACTGATATGGATATTAGGACATAAACGAGCGTGAACTTTTTATTTTGGCCATCAAATTGTAGAGACGTCATGTGTATGCTGAGATGGATAGAGAGGTAGGAGATTAATCATAGAGATGGTAGATGTCTCTTGATTTTGATTTTTTTTTTTTGCCATGTCAAGTTGAAACTTAGGTTTCGTTCGGTTCAAAAGTCTTGTGGTGGAACGGGCCTCATCGTCTTCGTTCTAAAACGATGAAAATTCACGATTCTTGTTATATAATAATCAGAGCCGTTTTGAAAACGCTCCATCGCAGATCTCGTGATTTTTGTCATTTTGAAATCTTTTCATAACCTACATCAACATAATGAAATCTTTTCAATTGAGTCAGATCTCGTGATTTTTGTCATTTTGACTCTTCCATGTAAAAATATTTTTATTCTATTTTGTCGATTTCATTTTAATTGTGTGTCTATTGGATCTTCGCATAACACTAAGATGTTAATATATCACTCTACCGCCTCGAATTTAATTATGTAAGCAATTTCAATGAAGTCGACATCAACTTAATTGAGTCAACGTCAAAATCTTTTTTTTTTTTTCAAATTATATAATCATCTAATTTCAATATCGCCAACAGTCTAATGTAGCTGACTAACTAATTATTTTTTTCATTGTTATAGCCATAAAATTTCATTAATGATATTTTATTTAAAGTCAATTATCATTGACATTTTGTACGAATAAATTAATAAATTCATGTACTTAATGGAAACACATTTAACTTCACCCTGCAATGCAAAGAATTTACTAATTTTAGATTACAAACAAATAATGAAGATTTACATGCATACCCCTCAATTCTTAAGTATTGACATATCTAACAACAAATTTCAATGTGTATACATTTGCCACTCTTACCCATACTTATAAAGGTGTATTCCACTTTTAAGGTTAAAATAGTGGTATTTTTTTTGCCATATGAAAGATTTAAAAGTTATGTATGTAATTCTACTGGCAATTACATAACATAACATTCAAATAAAGGGAACTTTAGTAAGGGAACTTTAGTTTTTACAAGAACTTTAGTTTTTACAATTATAACACCCCCAAATCTTTCATATGACATCATAAATACCATTATATTAACTTTTAAAAAGTGTATAAACATTTTCATGCCTAGGTAAGATGACATGTATGTAGAAACTGAAGTTGAATGCTTGTTGTAAGGATATATGAAGTAATAGGAGGCAAAATACCAAATTGGAACTTAGTAGATATCAAAGATTTGGCAAGAAAATCTGTGTTCATAGTATTCATGACATTACTTTAAAGGAAGATTTACATACATACCACTCAATTGCTACAATACCAACAGCTAAACTTCAATTTTTTCATATGCAAAAAAGTATTCAACTTTCAAAAAGTTAAAATGATCTATTAAATGTTGTCATTTATTAAGCTGTTTCTTTTGAATTGTAATGGGTGTGGGACAGTGGAAGTCATGGAAGCTTATCTAGTTTACTTTCCTCTTCTATTAAGATGGATGTACGTAAAATTAGGAAGAACAGACAGACGTACAATTATATGAGAAAATTATAGGAGTGAGAAAAGCGGAGAATATAGGATGCAGTGAGCATATAATATGGAAGGATTTCAGATAGGGGCAGAAATTTATAACTTTATAAAATATTAATTTAACTTTTAAAAATAATGTTTCAATTTAATTTATATATGACTATAATTTTGAGAAAACAATAATATTTTAATTTAAAAAAGTGAAACCGAATAGACCTCACGTATTTGATACTCTAAATGATTAAACACGATACCACAAGTAGTATACTGTCCAGAAGGATAAACATATCATTTATTAGAAGGCTTAACCATCTAAGTTAAAGAGTTTATGACATTTAGTCTGCGAAAACTTTTTTTTATAAGCCGACAAGTTATCATATTTAACATGGAAGATCAAATAGGGTTTCAATTAAGTTGGGTTCTTAAATTCCCTATAGAGGCAAGCTCAAATAGTTAATTACATCTCAAATGACCGAAGTCACTTGAAATAGTTAATTACATCTCAAATGATCGAAGTCACTTGAGAAAACTCTCAATTAAGATCAGTGGTTTTGTTTTCAAAATTTCAAAATTTTGGTTTCCAAGTTTGAATATAAGATAATCAAAAGAGAAGAGCTCAAAA